ACCATAAATATTGTATTGTAGAGTAATAATGTAGTGTTCTTCCCTTTTGTACTATTTTGGAACTTGCTTTGTACCATTGCACCAGTGTTATAAAAAAGGGTAATAATGTAGTTAGTTGACTCCAGCCATCGAAAAAAAAAGAGTTGGGACAATCACATAACATCGTATAGATGTAGGAAAATATATTTTAATCACTATAATGTTTAAACTTTATATACCGTTACTGAGTGACTTTTCGTTATTTAGTCACGTCTGTATAAAATCCTTACACTACCAGTTCATCATTTTATATAACTTATCAAGAATGACAGACCCTGGAAGGTCCATTGCTACGGTGATTCAAGTTTATTAATATTTTTATATTAGAAAGTCTGAATTAAGTTTTAATTTCCAAAAAATACGAATTATACAAATATTAAAGAAAATGTTTATAAGAGACTTTAAACATAGTCCAAAGAATACTATCATGAATGAAATTCATATGATGATTATGCAACCAGACGTAAATTCTTATAATATATATAGAATTGTCGGCTGTAATATCTATGTTTTAAACTAATTTACTTCTTTGTACTCTAAATTTCGTTTAAGTTTAACAATTCATAATTTAGATCGGATTAAAGTACTTTCATTTATAGTTTTAACTAAATATTTAACCTCAAAAACATTTATATCGATTTGGTCCTTTTACAAAGATATTTTTATTTAATCTGGTCATTATCTAAATGCGAAACCGACCAATCATGAATTGGGACCTTGGCTTCCAATCCTGAAAAAGACAATAACCCTTATTAAGGTCAACATAATGGGCTGTGCTTTATTGATGAGATCATATATCGATATATTAGTTTATATAATGTAAAATATATACCAAAAGAAAAAAAAATATAAAACAATATCACATATTGATAATAATTTTTTTATTAGCAACATAAGCAAATTTATATAAATTCTGTGAATCAAATTGGTAGTTTCGAATCTATGTAGATAACAAACAAGGGCTGTTGATAATAATGCCCAAATTAGGTTATATAGTTAACTATAATGGCCAAGTAGGGTTATATAAACAAATTCATTTGGGAAGTTTCCTCTTAATCAAATGAAGATCAGCTCTAATACATCATCGTATGATACGGAAGTGTTTTTCTAGAACAAAATATTACGTGTATAGTATTCCCCTTTTCAACATCATGTACAGAATTGTTTTGTCTTCTTAGAGCAACATTATTATTATCTTAATTTTAGCAAAAACAATTATTGATATCTCAAAACAAGTATTATGCAAACTGATATTAATATTTTAATACAATTATGTAAATATTATTTAAAAAATAAATATATATTTAATCATCAATAAATAGATATAAACATATATCATTTGAAAACCTCGCTACACTTTTTTTAAAAAAATATATGAGATACTTATCTACATACTTTTACGGAAAAGGATTCTAGAGCAACTTCGATAGGAAACTCTCAAAAAAAAAAATCTAACCATTATAAATATTGAAAGAAAAAAATAAAAAAAAAAAGAGTTCTTTACAGAAAAAATTTAAATTTCTTATATGATGCTCAAATGCTAAATGGATTTTAAAAAAAAAATATTATTATTTCATGTTTTTAGATATTCAAATAAAGTTTTAACTGTTAAAGCTACTCTTATGAATGAAGTTCTACATTCTAGAATTATTTCATGTGAATAGTCTAACCTCATAGGACATGAACAGTCGAACCAAACCGGTAGCTCTGTATCCATGTGAACAACGAAAAACGATTGTCTTCTAGCACTGTGTGGTAGACGATTCGCCGGTGACACATAAAGTGTGTGTAAGGTGTTTGATTTGGATGTCGGTTCCGTTTCGGTTCGATTTTTTCAATTTTTTGATATATAAAAATTAACTACCATGTTAATACTATATCAACTTTAGTTTGGTTCAGCTTATACACTAATAGTTTTCGGTATATTCAGTTTTATACCAAAAATCATAACTATGTTTATTTTTTTGATAAGTTTTAGTTTATATGATTAGAAATTAAATTTATTAACATATAATATATATTATGTACTCTAATTTTTTAAAAAATAATTTTCATTTTAACTATTAAAATAAAAATAAATAAAAATATTAATATCATAATATTTTTAAATAACTATATTTTAGCACAAATATTTACCAGTAAAAGTGTGTTTCATTTAATATGATGAAAATGAGAATTTTTTTTACTTATATTAAATTAAAAACTAATAAAATCAGTGATTTAAATATGAATATCTTAATAAACAATCATGTATATATTATTAATTTTATTATAAAATTTACATATAAGTATACTAATATATTTTAATTAATATGTTTCTTTGTTTACTCGGTTTGATCGGTTTATATATTGAACCATATCCATATATTATGGTTTCTTAAAATTAACATCCCTTTTATTTATTTGGTACTACAAATCTAAACCAATTTTTCTATTTTTGGTTTGGTTTGATTTTAATTGGTTCGATTATATCCGATCGACCACTCCTACGCGTTTGTTTCATGAGCTTTATCTTAGGACCGATACTTTAAATTATCAAAAGTTTTAATAATACATGCCAAAAGGGTACCTCCGAGGTTTGAAAACATTAATCATTGAACTAACCAATCCCAAACCAAAATATTTTTCACGTTAAGTAACTCTTTTTTAAGAAAAACGTAACTCATTTTGTCATAACACTAGTTGTGTAAGCCGGTATAATGATTACGTAATTATCTTGCGGTAAACAAGAATTAAGTAGCTTAATGGCTTTTATAAATTATAGGAGTATTTAATTAGAAGGGATATTAACTCATGACAACTTCAAATTTCGCTCCCGCTAATGGTTGGCCACTTTTTCTTATAGAAAAATGTAGATGTCTCCCGTTGGTGGTACGATTTTGTTTCCTAGTTTTGATTCACAAGACGACGAGTTCTCTACCAGTCGAACTGTATCATTGGACTACACCACCTTGATTATTTCTCTTTTGAAATATTTGTTTCATTAATCTCATTCAATCATATTTGAAATGTTGATAGATATATTTTTGTTGGTTTTATAACTGTCACATAATAACTGTCACATAGTAACTTGAGCAAGTGGTTTGGTCGTTTTGTCAGGGATAGTCTTTTTTGGGTTCAAGATCGCAATGGGAGAAATTCATTTTTTGTTTCTCAGAAAAAAACTGCCAAATTGCCTTCATTTGATCTTGTAAAAGTCATATATGTAAACATGATGACTGTAGTGTCTCACAACTAACTTTCTGTCTCTATCACAACTACCGCACACTTCATTTGATTTTTATAATTGAAATTCTATTTAAGGTACGAGTTTAGAAGTGGTCGTTCACACGGTGCTACCGGTCTCCTAAATAGTGCTGAAGATTTTAATCAAAATTTAAGTTGAACAATTAAAACTTCATAGATCACGCAAACTAAAATATATAGATGATGATAAATGTACAATAAATTTTAAGGATCCTACAATGACTATACAAACTTCACTAAATAACCAAAATTACATTAGAATATAGTTAAACAAGAAAAATATGTATACAGTACTAAGTTAATATATAAGTATTAAATTAGTATAGAAAAACATGTATGATGTTGTTATTGACTTGATTGGCCTTATTTAACTTTTAATTTTTTCAGGGTTGAATTTATTTTTTTGGTATGAATATTTTCTAAAGCCCTAAGTACAAAATTGATAACTAATTACCTATGCGCCATAATTATTAAAATACAAATATTAATCAAAATTTATGTCCGAATACGCCTTATTACTTAAAAAAAAAAATTCACACAATATATACAAAAAATCATATATCTATAATAAAATAATTTAATATTTATGTATTTTATAAATTAAATATCAAACAAAACTCGTGCAACACACATGCTCATATCTAGTATTATATAAACTATAGATAGACATACTAACTGATAATTATTTATATTTTTAAAGTATGTATTATGTTATAATATATAACTTATTATTTAAAAAGATTCTTAAATATAAAAAAACATGTTTATTATGATATACGGGCCACACGGATTATCTATTAAAAAATTGCAGATTAGACGTATCAATTTTTTTGATAAAAACTATTACTACGCGGTATAGGATAATCAAGCGAGGAGGATTTGTTCAGTTTGGCAGCACTGCTCTAAAACAGTCAAAAGTCTTCGTTTCTTTATTTTTTAATAATTAACAATAATATATCATTGTGGCTTTCACTTGCTTGACTTTCTTATATTCTCTTTAAAAAATAATAACAAAGAGTGTATATATGTATCTTCTTTTAAGTTAGCAAGTGTATATATATATATGGAGATAACAGGAACAAAAGCCATATCACTTTCCTTCTCGTTCTCCTTAAAGATAAACTTTTTTTTTTGAAATAAAAAGATAAGCTTGTAAAACCCTAAAAGCTGATCTACATATTAGAAGTTAAGAGTTTTGAGTAGTGAAAGTAATGGCAATAAAAGAGAGATCACTGGAGGAGACACCAACATGGGCTGTTGCTGTTGTTTGCTTCGTTCTTCTCTTCATTTCTATCATGATCGAATACTTCTTGCACTTTATTGGTCACGTACGTATATTTTTTATTCTATGTTTCCATTTTTATATTATCCAAAGTCTTCATTTCGCTCTTTTGCTGCTCTTCTCCAAGTGATAGTCTAATTATATATAAAGCCTTCAAAACTTATGACATATCTCTCTTTTCTTTTACTTGAAAATCCAAACACTATAGACGTTTCTTTAACCTTTTTTGGTTTAATATTTGTAGTGGTTTAAAAAGAAGCACAAGAAGGCTTTATATGAAGCTCTTGAAAAGGTTAAAGCAGGCAAGTTTACTCTTCCATAAAGATTATATTAATCATAAATTTGGATGTCGTTTTGTATCACAATCTGCTCAATGTTTCTATTGAACTTCGAACTAACTTTTGTTCTTTCTTCTTGCTTTGTGGTGAAATAGAATTGATGCTACTGGGATTCATATCTCTTCTACTTGTTGTATTGCAAACACCAGTCTCCCAAATTTGCATTCCAGAAAGAATTGCTGCGACTTGGCATCCTTGTAGTAGCCACCAAGAGAGCACTAAATATGGTAAAGATTATATCGATGATGGTCGCAAAATTCTTGAAGACTATGACTCGAACGACATTTATAGTCCTCGTCGAAGTTTAGCGACCAAGGGTTATGACAAATGCGCAGAAAAGGCATGTTTTATATTTTAATTATTACTTTTCTTACTTTTTGCTTGACAAATACTGTTATTAATTTATTTATTTTTGTTTTGAATTATTATTTTCAGGGGAAAGTAGCATTAGTATCTGCATATGGTATCCACCAATTGCATATATTCATCTTCGTGCTCGCTGTATTTCATATTCTCTACTGCATTATAACCTATGCTTTGGGGAAAACCAAGGTACATGATATTTTCTGTATATGAAGAGAAGAACGAAGATATTATGCATGTCTTTAATCTTGTGATGTCTTTAATCTTGTGATGTAAATATGCAGATGAAGAAATGGAAATCGTGGGAGAGAGAGACCAAAACAATTGAGTACCAATATGCCAATGGTATGCACAAACATATTAGCTATTATATCACCGCCATAAGCTTCTTTTGGCTGTAATCATCAAACAAAACAAAAATCAAAACGAGTTTTTAATTTTTTGGATAAAATATTCTCGTCGGTGTTTAACTTTGGCAAAACGTTAACATAATGATCACGTGTCACTTGGATTTGTTTAATGATCCATATGTACGTTCTTATATTCTTTTATTGAATTATATAATCAGACTTATGAGTAGAATATCCAATGACAACACGCTTTTTGTTTGACTTATAAATGAGCAACTAGCTTTTTACCCGCGCAGCGCATCCTTATGGATGTATGTTATGTATAATTATATATTTATGTTAGTTGTAAAGAACATTCACATTTATGTTTCATAGATTACTGAGTTCTAATTTTGGTGTATCTTATTTATTTTGTCTAGTGTTTTTTTAACTATCATATTGTATTTTTTTATATTGTATTTTTTACTTGATAAACGAAACAATTAAGTGTAAAATGTTATAGTATTTTTTTTAGATTGTGGGTTTTATTAAATTATAATATAAATTTTGTGATTGAAATTATTATTTAAAATTAGATTTTATAGATTCTTTTAAAAAAAATATTTAGATAGGAAAAATAAAAATAAAAAAATTCACAAAAAATAGCTCTAGCAATTTTATAAACAAATGTCATTTTTAAAATTGAATTTGGCAATTTAGTTTTGATTTAAAATTAATGGACCTTGAATTTTTATCAAACCCATTTAAAATTAAGTGTTTAATTTCCAATAGCATAAGTTTGTAATATTTGAGGAAAATTAAGGGATATTTCCTATTTGTACTCCTCTTTTAATATTTTAGATTTAACAAAAGAAAGTACCTTCACTTTTACAGTAATTATATGTGTTATGTCCTCTTATTAAATTTATTTAAATTCAATTGATTGCCTTAAATATTGTAGATCCAGAGAGGTTCAGATTTGCAAGAGATACATCATTCGGACGTAGACATTTGAATGTATGGAGCAAGTCCTCCTCTACCCTCTGGATTGTAAGTTTTCATTTTCATATCCTCCTTAAATTTTCCTTCATATATTCCTGTAATTTGGTTTTACATTACAAAATAGTAATGGATAAATTGTGGGCATGCAGACATGTTTCTTTAGACAATTCTTTGGATCAGTGACTAAAGTGGATTATCTTACACTAAGACATGGTTTTATAATGGTAAGTAACTTTTACTATATAATTATTTATTTATAGAGTCGAATTTTAAATTTTTAAAAGTTGTGAAATGGTGCAGGCGCATTTGCCAGCAGGAAGTGGAGCTCGTTTTGATTTTCAAAAATACATTCAAAGATCTTTGGAAGAAGATTTCAAGGTTGTTGTCGGTATAAGGTTGGTCCCTTTCTTTATTTTCAAATCGAAGTCATTGATAATTTCTTTCAATTATCTAATTTTCAATAATATTACTATAAATTTCTTATTAAATACGTTACTATGTGTGAATGGAACTGCAGCCCAGTGATATGGTGCATTGCTGTCTTGTTCATATTGACAAATACACATGGTTGGTCCTGATTCTTTACAATTTCATTTAATTATATTAAGCAAATTTCATTGAAGTAATAACATAAACTTCTGTTTACTTTTCAAATTGTAATAGGATGGGGTTCCTATTTTTGGCTGCCTTTCCTCCCTTTGGTTGTAAGTAATTACAGACACATTACTTCAAACTTTTCAATTGGTTTTGTTATGAAGTTGTGATTGTAAACATATATGATTAATGATATTAATTATATGATTGGTTTGCTTAATGAAATGAAGGTGATATTAATAGTTGGAGCAAAACTTCAAGTGATAATATCGAAATTGGGATTGAGGATTCAAGAAAAAGGAGATGTGGTTAAAGGAGCTCCTGTGGTTGAACCGGGTGATGATCTCTTTTGGTTTGGTCGTCCTCGTTTCATCCTCTTCCTCATTCACTTAGTTCTTTTCACGGTATAACTAATTTAATTAGTCGTATGTGTTTTTATGTATTTTTTAGATATGGTTTTTCTAATAACATATGTTTTTATGTACACTTCTTTCAGAATGCATTTCAACTGGCTTTCTTCGTGTGGAGCACTGTGAGCAACAATCCATCTCTTCTGAAAATATCATTTAAAATGCTCTTTTCAATAAATTAACTGGTTTTAGTATTAATGTTGCAGTACGAGTTCACACTCAAGAACTGCTTCCACCACAAAACAGAAGATATTGCAATCAGGATCAGCATGGGGTTTGTTAGCTCATCAACAAGTTATATATTAAGTATGTCTTGTATCTTTACTCTAAGCTTCTTTGTGTTGTATATGACAGGGTATTGATACAAGTTCTATGCAGCTACATTACTCTACCTCTCTATGCTCTTGTGACTCAGGTATATAATCTAAATTGCTATATATTCATGTACGATATTATAGTGTGTGGATTAAACTCTAGCATCGATAATTTACGTAATTTGGATGAACTTTTTTGCTATCATGTCAACAATGTTTTGAAATTTTTTTTTTGAACTTAAAATCAAACTGCACTGCATCAGATTGATACATATATTGTACATTGTTAGATCTCAAGTTGTCTATGTAGGATTCTCTAACAGTAAACCGTAAATGCAGATGGGAACTTCAATGAGGCCAACCATATTCAACGACAAGGTAGCCAATGCATTGAAAAAATGGCACCACACGGCCAAGAAACAGACCAAACATGGACACTCAGGGTCCACCACACCTCACTCAAGCCGCCCCACGACGCCAACACATGGCATGTCACCGGTGCATCTCCTCCACAACTATCATAACCACAGCCTTGACCAACAAACCAGCTTCACAGCCTCTCCTTCTCCTCCTAGATTCTCTGATTTTGGCGGCCACGGCCATGTCCACTTTGATCCTGAATCTCAGAATGTCTCTAGTCACTGTGAGATCACAGATTCTGATGCTGATGTAGCTAGTCCTGTTAGAGAAGAGAGAGAGATTATTGAGCATGTCAAGGTTGATTTGTCGGAGTTTACTTTCAAGAAGTGATATGAGTTTTATACTTTACCTGTTTGTTCATTCTTTATAAATGATATAAACTTTGAAATGAACACCTTTTTATTTTATATTTTGCTGTCAGCGTACAAAGGAGAAAGCTTTATAATATCAAATCATTTTGAAAGATATATTACTCTCAACAACTTAAATTTCACCAAGCGCCACGAGTTGAGTCTTTGCTTTTGTTATGCTCTTAACTTGTACGTTTTGGGTTCTGGGCTCATATTCAATTCTCTTCAAAGGTAAATTGATTTTGATGGATGTTCTGCCTCGAATATGATGCTTGTGAATTGTAAGAGTTAACATATCGTTTTATCATTACATATTTACAACTGTGACAATAATTGTTTGATAGTATTAGTACCTATCAGACAAAGAATCAAATCATACACTAAAATCTTGGAGCTTTCTTCGGAATGTCACCCTTCTACCAAGGACTACATTGCTTGGGAGCTTGACAACTATATACATTAGAATCAGATTCTTCTGGTTCTTTCAGGTACGAAATGCGACAGGAACAGATAGAGACAAGTGGTTGACGTAACCTTCAACCGATGGCAAGCAAGAGCAAAGGTTGTGAGAAACATAACAAGGGACGTCCAGCAGAATTTGGGCGTCAATACTCTGTCACTCTTTACGGATTTCAGTTTCTATCTAATTTGGCAAAGCATTTGCAAAAATAACATGCTCCTTATTATCCAATCAACAATTATTAAAACACATTTAAAAAAAAATGCAAATACTAATGATCTTTACTCAATGCTTTCCCATGGAGCATTTGTACTTGAATATTAAAATATTTTTATATAATTAATTTGTTTTATTTTGTAATATAAAACCTTTTGATTATGTCCAAAATACAATTTATATATTTATCAACTAAAAAGTATTTTTTAACTTTCAAAATAACAAATAATAAATATGAATATATTAAATAAGATTTCATTATTTTCAAGGATAAATTTCCTAAATAGCCCCCAGATATCAAAATAGCTAAATAAGGTTTCATTAAAGAGGTAATGGATAACTATATAATCATCATAATGTTACTTCTTATTTATTAAATCAATAAAAAATATTAAAAATAAAAATAAGAATATCGATTCATATAATTTTAAAGAAAAATTACCAAAAATATTTTAGTTTCTTAAACATTATATTTTTCTTTTACAATGTTTTATATTCCCTCATGTAATTAAACTTTTTTTAAATATAGCTTGTATGCATATTTACGAAGGTCTTCATAAATATATATGACATCTTTCTGAATTTAATTTCTATACATGTTTAAATATGTTTCATATCTTTTTAAAATTTAGATATAAAATTCATGATTTTTTTCCTAAGACTTTATGAAGAGTTTATACATATTCAATAGTATCTTACTAAATATACATATCGTATTTTATTAAAACAAAAGTATCCATAAAAAATATCCCTTAAACTTGTATTCATATGCCACAAAACAGAAGTAATAAATTATCAACAATTTAACTTTTTGTCTTTTCTTATTTATTAATACAATTTCTTAATTTAATTTTACCTAAAAAGGGACAATAATTTTTTTTTTACCTTTTCTAAACAAACAAAATAAATAAATTCAAAATTGAAATCACAATATCTTTATTAGTCCCTCTATACATTAATAATAAGGAATCTTTATTATAACAATAAAATATATAAACTAAAATACTGAAAATGTTGTAATATTACATATTATTAAATCACCTAATTTGTTTCTAAATTATATTTTGTCACTTGCTTTGTGGATCAACCTATAATAATTATGCAAATTTATAAGAAAATTGTATACAAAATTCTTCACCACTTCTATCGCATAATTAGTTCTCCAAATATCTGTATCATTTTGTTATCATTCAAAGTTTTATAGTCAGAGTTTTTAAAGCCGATCAAGATACTAAATCGAATAAATTAAT